GAAACTTAATATGAAGTAATAAAATAAGTTGAGAAGGAACTTAGCTACTTGGCACACGAACTCGCAACCAATAGTCGCACAACAGCTCCAAACATTGATAACGAAAGGTTATAGCGTATGATCAAATGATAATTGCGTCAATCACGTCGACGCCTCTGACCACCATCAAAGTTGACTTAAGCACACCAACCACACGCATAATACCACTTAAGGCTTGAAATTTTAGGGGGTTTGTCTCTTGTTAATTTATGAATTCATACTCTGACACTAATCCATTAAATTTCTTGCTAGAATTAAATGGGGTAGCCGGTTAATACATAATATCAGAAATGTACGTCCGATATATTCCACGTCCAACAGGAACAAGATCAATATATAGCTCATAATACCAAGTTATGAGAAAGAGATTGTTGAAAAGTTTGATTATATTGAAGAATATATAAGATTATTTATAGTACATAAGTAAGCATTAGAGTATGACTAAATACATTAGACAATAGTTAGGGAAATCCATAACAATGAACCTAGCTAATTGTGTAAATCAAGGAGTAAATCAAGGGATAATGATACAGGCCCATCTTGATCGCAACAGACATAAATTAATTTATTGTACAAAATTACAATCAGTCTTCCTCTACGAATTTCATCCTCTTTGCAGAGGATACATAAATTATAATCTGCCAACTAATTAATAGTCTCATAATTAAACTAGGGTTCTTGAATATCGTCTAATACGCTTGCTCCAAAATTTCGTGCAATCTCCATATCCAAGAAATCAACAGTATAATTAAATAATATTTTATTTTGCTTCTAATTTGTTGGAAAAATACCTGTTGATTTCATGAATAATAATAGACAAATCAAGAACTTCTCTAGAACAAATTCGATCGACATACTCGAATCAAAGATATGTCCTCCTTCAGTTGTGTCGTGGTTTGGTACCCACTGACTTAGAAGAGAAATACGCCACCACCGGTACATGTATTCCAGTGACGCACGCCCCCAAGTTTTACACAACGACCTCCGCAATTTGTGTACCCAAACTCGAAGGTTGGAATTGCTTAAGAAATATTCAGATAACAAAGGTTAGGTTTGTGTTATATGTGTTTTTTTCAAAAGTTATTTTTATTGAAGAGACTCTTGTTTGTATTTGTGAAGTTCCAATACAAGGAAAGCAATAACCTATCAGTTTATATTGTGCCCAACTAGGTCCAACTGATAACCACTCCAAACAATATCTAACACACACGGTCATGTAGGAAGAGGGTACACGACCGTGTAGATAGGTTCGTCTGCAAAAGCACACAACCGTGTAGAGTAAGGTACATGACCATGTATGACACACGGTCATGTAGTACAAGGTACACGGCCATGTAGCAGATAGTTGTACAATAATGAGTTTTCAACCAAAGAGTTACTCTCACCTGCTCGGTCGGACAAACTAACCCAACTTAGTCTGAGATAAAAACTTTCCGGTTGCATTACTAACTCCAACAATGTTGGTATAACAAAGTGGTCAAAGTCACTTTGGAAATAAGTATTGACTTCAATTCAGGGCGAACTCGGCATATTCAACAAAACCTTGAAGGCTTGAACATCATCGGGTTTCTTGTTACAACTCATTAACCATGTACTTTGATGTATTCACCTATCTGTATACATTGACCTTGAGATATGTCATGCCCCTATCTGTATTGAATACATTTGTGGTTAGGCAATGCTTTTCTAGTAGCAATTTATAGCCCTATCTGTATTTGACTACTTTATTCATCGTCATGCTCTTTCAGGAAAACATAGTTTCTAGAAGCAACTTATAGCCCTAAGATGTAATCCGTGGTTTATACACACGGGTGTACAGTGCTCATCGTACACCCGGATAAATAAAAAAAAGGCGGAAAGAACATCCTGTGTTTCATAAAGAACATACATGTATTTGACAAAGAACATGTTTGTATTTGACAAAAACATGCATTACCAAAGAACATAAAGATATAATAAAAAGAACGAGATAAAAACTTGATAAAATTTTCTGAAAAATTACACATTATTAACGGGAAAAATTTAGAGGTGATAAAAAATCGAGTAGCCGGGCCATATCATAATTTCTTGTGCCCAAACCCGTAGAAAAGTAGCGGGTTTTCGGGCTTTTTTCGAACCCGGTTCGAGTTTTAACTAAAAATGTATTTTTAGGTTTGCCCAAACCCACCCTATTTCGGGCCGGATCGGGTCGGGATGCGAGTCATGCCAATGTTGATCACCTCTTAAAAAATCCTTACCAAAGATATCATTTCCCCAAAAAATAGTTTTCTATCTCTCCAAAAAAAATTCAACTTCCCATAATAATTTAGTTTTTTTTTTTACTCTAACATTATTTTCAATTAAAAATAATTTAAGATTTCAATATCAAATTTCAAAATACCATATGTTAAAATAACATAATTTATATTGTAAAGTACATATAGTTAATACCTAAATAACACACTAATCAAACTCAAAGAATATACGATAATAAAAGTAATTTAAATATGACATATGATGATAAAAAATAGAATTTGGGAGTCACTACGACCTTAAAGAACATACACGCCAAATTCAAAGAACATACTTTGTATTATTAAACCCAAAAAAAATATATGTTTATCAACATATGTTAAATAACATAAGTTATAATATAAAGAACATATAATTTTACTCAAAGAACACACTGATCACACTTAAAAAACATATTAAAGGTATGTTCTTTGTCAAACATAGGTATGTTCTTTATCAAACACTATATGTTCTTTCCGCCTTTTTTTGTTTACCTGGGTGCACCATGAGCATGGTGCACCAGGGTGTATTATCTAATTTTCACTAAGATGAGAGTGCTGCAAGAGATATCAAATACGCAAAGCGCTGTAATTGACATAACTTGACTTGATAATCAATTGTAATCACAAACTAACAAAGCTTTTGCTTTTGTTGAGATAGGGTCCTTTCTCATTATGAAAACAAGTACCACCTGACAAAATGTATCAGAAAAGGAAAAAAGTGACAGTATCATAGCCGTTTTCACGGTGACGGTAATGTCTTATATTTACTTACTTCGTATTTTAAAAGGGCAAAATAGGTATTTTTAAAGGAAATGAATTTTTAGAGTGTTATAAGTTACTTAGTCAGGGGTTACTTGTGTGTTAGCTGGTCACACAATGTGGCCAGCTAGACGAGGGCACCGTACCGTGTCGGGCCACCGCGGGCCGTGCCTGGTGGTGGCTCGTGCCGGGCCGGGCCATGTCAGGCCACAATTTGGTACACCCCAGCCCACGTGCCTAGCGTACCGTGCCGGCAACGGATGGGGCAGGTCTCCTATTTGACCTGCCCCACTGACATCCCTAGGTGCACATAGGTACGGTTGATAATAAGTTTACGCAATCAATATAGTACAACTAACTTCTACATTCAATAAAACTATGTCGTTGTTCGTTGTAATAGTAACAACACTTAAATATTCTTGACTTTGTATTACAATTTGCATACAATAAAACAAAACAAAAACAAAAACAAAAAAAACAAAAAAACAAAAAAAAAAAAAATTATTAGATTTGCATGAATACATTTTGTATATTAATACGAAAATGATTGGGAAGAAATAGAGAATGAAAACACAAGTTACAACATTTCTATATACTATAGCAGCTACTGTGCGCGCGCTATAGGTAGGCGTATACGAAAATGATTGGGAAGAAAATAGTATTGGTTTTGATGTTCGTTAAAAGCTGAAGAAATGATGAACTTGTAATGAGTACAAAATTTCTTGTTAACTCCTGTAATAATGCTCTTTTGCTCACTAAAATGGTGAGATAAAGCTCTTTGGTTTGCAAATTTGCCGTGCATGCTACATTTAAAAGTTCTTGTTGCCATAATTGACAATTGCCTTGATATTACTATATTAGCCATAGCCCTATTTGCATAGGCAATGACGTTTTCTGCCAGAGCAGTGCTTCTTGTATAACATTTAAAGCTTCATTAAAGTTCTTCGTCTTAAAATGTTTAATGCCCTGCTCTTTCAGTATAGTAGCCTCTGCAGAGAAAGTGTGGTACACAAAGGTTTCACTCTAAAAATGGAAGGGTATCCAAGATATTTAAGGGTGCACGACATGTATATATTATATTTATATTACAAGGATAATAAGTTTACGCAATCAATATAATACAATAAAACTATGTCGGTGTTCGTTGTAATAATGCATTAGTAACAACACTTAAATACTCTTTACTTTGCATTACAATTTGCATACAATAAAACAAAAAAAAAAAAAAAATTATTAGATTTGCATGATTACATTTTACATATTAATACAAAAATGATTGGGAAGAAAAGAGGATGAAGACACGAGGTACAACATTTCCTATATATTATGGCAGCTAACGTGCGCGCTATAGGTAGGCGTATACATGGAGATCTTTTATCTAGGCCCTATATCACAACTTAAATTATTGGTAGTATTAATAAGGGACTATTCTTAAGAGTTAAAAAAAGAGGTAATTAGCATAATTATGGGCAAATAAATAAATAAATATTTCAAAAGTATAATATTTAAACATTCTAATAAGAATTATCTCAAATTTTTTAATAAAGTTAGAGATAATTATCAAATGAGTTTAAAACATAAAAATTAGAGCAAATACATTAAACTAAGGCTAAATATATAAATTAACATTTTTAGGACATAATAGTCTCAACACTATTTATAAAAATTTAGTCATACTTGAAAAAAAAAAGAGGAAAAAAAAATTACTAGTAGTGACAACAATCAAAAGGATGCTTTTATAATATCCCAACTTCCATAAGTTCTACTATTTACTTTTCATAGGCTTGAAAAATCTTGGTCTATATAATTAGTTTTTTATAGAATAGGCATAATATATACAACTACTACAACACTATTATTTCTAGGAAGCTCAAATACTTTGCTTAAAAAAATGGAGCTTCTTGTTATCTTTATGATATTTGTGTCCTTTGTCTTCCTTTGCTACCTTTTTCGCAACAAAAATGGCATTCCTACTAATTGGCCTATAGTAGGGATGTTGTTTGCACTACTTGTAAACCTTCATCAAGTTCATGTTTGGTTAACCGAAGTGTTAGAGAAATCAGATATGAATTTCCTCTTTAAAGGTCCTTGGTTAGCCAACATGAAGATGTTTATCACACTTGATCCTGCAAATGTGCACCACATTATGAGCAAGAACTTTACAAATTATCCTAAGGGAACCAAGTTTAATGAAATGTTCGACGTTTTCGGGGATGGCATCGTCAATGTAGACTCCGATATGTGGATGTTCCAAAGGAAAATGGCGCATACTTTCATTAGCCACCCTAAATTTCATCCGTTTTTGCAAGATACGGTTTGGGAGAAGGTTGAGAAAGGTCTAATCCCGGTCCTTGATCATGTGTCAAAACAAGGGTTAGTAATTGATTTGCAAGACTTGTTTAATAGATTTACGCTTGACACTATTTGCACTCTAGTTACGGGGTGTGATTTAGGATCTTTATCTATTGATTGGCCTCATGTTCCATTTTCGAACGCGTTAGATGATGCCATGGAGGTAATATTGTATCGACATATTGTTCCTATGAGAGTATGGAAGTTCTTTAGGTGGCTTGGGGTAGGAAGCGAAAACAAGTGCAAAAAAGCTTGGGAAATACTAGATGAGTTCGTCTATAAATGCATTGCTAAAAAAAGAGAAGAGGAAAAACAAAAATCCATGAAGCCTCAAGTTGGTGTCGATTTATTGACACTATACATGGATGAAAGCCAACCTATAAACGTGACAAACGTTACAAGTGCAAGTGACAAGTTTTTAAGAGACACTATACTAAGTTTCTTCCTAGCGGGACGAGACACAATTACTACTGCTCTATCATGGTTCTTTTATCTCCTCTCTAAGAACCCGCGAGTAGAGTCCAAGATCCGAGAAGAATTAAGCACAATGGAGACGGTCCATGATTACCAAAAGTTAATTTACGTTCATGGTGCTTTATGTGAGGCCTTAAGATTGTATCCTCCTGTGGCTTTTGAGCAAAAGGCCTCAATTGAGTCAGATATACTTCCAAGTGGCCACCAAGTTGATCCGAATATGCAAATTATATTCAACATGTACGCGATGGGAAGGATGAAGGCCATATGGGGAGAAGATTGTTACGAGTTCAAGCCAGAGAGATGGATATCTGAAGGAGGTAGCATTCGACATGAACCATCTTACAAGTTCTTAGCCTTTAATGCAGGGCCAAGAACTTGCCTTGGGAAAAACATGGCTTTCTTCCAAATGAAGGCCGTCGTTGCTACAATAGTTAGAAACTACACGTTCCAAGCAGTTGAAGGACATCATGTTGTTCCCGATGTTTCTTTGATCCTTCGTATGAAACATGGATTCATGGTTAAGGTTTATCGTTCTCCATAAGGATAACACCTTATTAGGTGTATGTATGCTTTCTCTTACATGCTGTAATTTTAGTAGTATGTTCAGGTCGTCACATACTAGCTACTAGCCTTCCTACGTATTGATATTAGCCATAGCCCTATTTGCATAGGCAACGACGTTTCCTGCCAGAGCAATGCTTCTTGTATAACAATCTAAAGCTTCATTAAAGTTCTTGGCCTTAAAATATTTATTGCCCTGCTCTTTCAGAAAAGTAGCCTCTGCAGAGAAAGTGTGGTACAATAAGATTTCACTCTAAAAATGGAGGGGTAACCAAGAGCAAGAAAAGAGTCTTGTACATTGAAATGTTTAAACACATGGTGCAACGGATGTGAGTTGGATAAAACTCAAGTTTGCACAGTTCTTCGTAGGATGAGAGTGGTGTTAGAGATGTCAAAGAGGCCAATCATATCAGTTCCATTTCATACAAACATGAGCATTTCACCCCTCTTATTAAATAGCATCACGTACTACACCATAAACATAAGCGAAAGAGATACACATGAGGGGGGAACATGTAATTAAAATCAAGTTCTGATGAGAGACATTATCATCTAAAAACCAATGCTACAAAAATCTATTGATCAAAGCAAAACAAAATAAACTAACACAATCAAAAGAGGTAATATTTGGAAGGGCGGTAGCAGAGATGTTAGTGTAAACCTTGCCTTGATGGATACTAAATATAAACCCAAGCAGTCATAAGTCATAACAATAGCTATATGAATAGCAAAATGAGCTGCAATATATACATGATGGGGAGAGTTTAATCAAGTTTATTTGACCATAAACAAAAAATTTCTAAATGCTCCAATGAAAGTTACCACACCAACAAGAAACTGCTTCAAAAATATACTTGTATTATTGAACTCGCACAGGTGAGAATAACAGAACTAAAAAGCTTCAAAAGGAGAGAGTAGAGATTTTACAATCATGACTTCAAACAGTATAAGATTATCTCTTGATGCAATCATCCAAACTTCCTGAAATGCAGTGTTTCAAATCTGAGAATGAACTCTAAGCCCTAACATATATATAAGTTACCACAACTCTGTTGTTTAATCTGCTGCTACAGGAAACATCATAACCAACTCTAGATACAGCTAGGAAACTAGGGAGAAAAAAGTGTCAGCTACTGTCTTAGATAACCATAAACTTCACCTTCAATAAATGAAGCTATTAAACAGGGACTCAATTTTGGAAAATTCTTTTGTTAAGGAAATGCAGCTACTACGGAGTATTAGAAAAGGATCAAACAACTGGCTTTTAGTTCTGCATAGCATTTTGAGTAAAATTTTTCTAAGAGCTCAGTTATTCCTAGTATAACCACACCCAGCATATGAACTTTAAACCCTAGCGCCACACATGTCACATTAATATACTCAGATCGTCCCTCTCCCATAGGCAATAGTTAAGCATCTGACACATTTTAACTCAAGATCCTATACGATAGTTGGACGACTATTCACACTCTACTCAATCTTAGCAAGGATATAATGAAAGCCAATTAATACCTTTATCTATATTAGAAAATATGACAACGTTTTCCCAGAACCAAAAATTTACATGAGTAAGACATTAACCATTTAAGCATATAGACTTGATCACATCCAAATCATACAATTGTAGAATGGCTCTGCAGCTAGTTTACTTAGGCTAAGACAAAATGATATTGGCCAACTCAATAGCATAGATGGTATAAAACTCAAGTAATTGAATCAAGCTACAAGTAGCTACACCTCTAATTATTTCCAAACAACATAACATTACACAAATAATCCATATCAGATATAACATAGACAAATCAAAATGAATCAAATGGCATGCCTATATATGAACATTACAGCATCTTAGAATTATGGTAACATCATAACCATACATGTAGTTAATGGTTATATTACTTACTCAAGCTCGGAGAAAACGATAATGGAAAACTCGGCAGCTTGACTACGATAAAATAGATGTATCTACTCAAGCCAGAGTTACCACCATTACAACTCTCCACCTTCTTGGTACCAAAATTCAAGGAAAAAAGACGATCTCCCACCATGAAGTAAGCAATATCAGCCTCGAAAGGGTGCATCAGATAGGGGAAAGGCATTACTTTTTCAAGTCCATAAGCCAAATAACTCTCATCTGACCAAACATCCATTAAAGAGAGCTTATGCACCAAACTCCATTTCCCACCTTCATAGTCCTGTAACCTCCACAAACTAAGCTCATTCTTTTCCTTCTTCGATAACTCTATAAATTGAATATGCCCACCACCAACGTCGACAAACCGGTCATCACCCCCCGAACCTACAGACTCTCTATGAAAGGCGATAAATCGACAATGCACCTCCTTCTGTCCACTAAATGGTTCATCCCAAACTATAATCCCAAGTGTCGGATCAACCCAAACTAAATGCCCATCATACTCAACTGCTCCAAAACCCTTCCACATAAGCATACCAAGCATATAATTAGCAGAAATTTGTTCCCATTTACCAGTTTCAGATGAGAAACACATTATACTAGCGATCTTAGACCCAATAACCGGCTGATACTCAGCAATTATAAACCTCTCTAAAACCCCAGATAATTTAACCTCTGTAATAAAACCAACAGAAGACTGCCTATTTATGTAATGAGGCGGTTTCGGAATCGAAACCCATTCACGAGTAATCGGATTAACCACAAACAAACTATCTTCTTCATTAATCCAATAGAAAGAAGTTGCAGTTTTTTCCTTAAATGGGTCCCTCTCAATCTTGATAGAAAATAGGAGAAACCCATTACTAGAAGCTAACAAAGTTGCAGGAAATTCATGACCTTCGATAAGAGACTCAGTTGATTTATCAACTATTTTATGAGGATTAACAGAGAAAATACTCACATTTGGAGGTTTCTGCCATTGAAGGATGAACTCAGAAGCAGCTAACTCGGGTTCTGACTCGGGGTTGAAAGGGATGAATCGGTCAAAGATTGCCCATGAAAGAGAAGACTTGGAAATGTAGGAGGAGATGAAATGTGGGTTGCTGATCATCGAATACCAGCCTTTCGAAACGGATTTGAAACGGCATATTGATTTGGCGGGTAAACGGGTCAGAATTTCAGAAATTATTTGATCTGGGAATATACCCAAATCAGAAAGATCCGACATTTTTCAGGGTGAATTTTTCTGGGAAGTTGGGGTTTTTGAAATTTGGATATTACTCGGACAGTGGAATTTGGGATTTGAGAGAGGGAAAATGAAGGTTTATATATCTAGGGTTTTGGAAGTAAAGTTGATGAGGAGGTTTAAAACCTAGGGCTTTGGATGGGTTGACATGACATTTTTATCGGCTCCAAATAGATTTAGGTCCGGTTTTATTCACCTTATTTTCGATTTTCATAAAGAGGGGGTAAAAAAGTTTGAAGGTTAAAATATTCACACTAGCTACTAGTATTAAATAAGGTCGGAAAAAAATAAATTTAGATGAGTGTTACATAAATTTACGACTACTAAACCATTATAAAAAAAAAAAAAATACGACTACCATTACAAGTTGTAGTAAAATATAATACTAAGTTCAAAGAGATAAAATCATATGCATAGATTAAACCCCTAATGTGCATAACTTTTCTCAGAGTGTGACGACAGTGACCTAGAGTCTAGACACACCCGAGATTACTTGGAGACAGCCAAAAAATTATCAATATCCATTTTTTATTTTTAACATTCAACGAGTTATTTAGAGTGTACTACCTTCTTGCTAGTACTGAACAGTCAAGTTTAACACTCCCTCAATTTCATATAGTTTTTCCTATTTTGAATCTCTTTGTGAGACAACATTGTTCAAAATAAAAAGAACAATATGAAATAGAGGAAGTAATATTATAATTCCATGATGTCTTAACGCCTTTACTTCAAAAATTCTTCCTACCACTTTTTTTGAATGGAATGGGGAGGGGTGATTTCATTAAATAATAATGGGTTTACGAGGCCAAATTCGACCATGAAAACTCTAGATCTAGAGTTTTCATGGTCGAATTTGACTTGAAAACCTTCGTTTTAACCATCAATAACCTTTTCATTGTCGGAGTTGTTGTCGATTATAGCGGTTTGTAGTTGTTGTTGACGGTGCGAGAGTGAGAAAGAGAAAAGAGCAGCGAAGAAAGAGAAGAAGATAGAATAAAGGATGAGAGGAAATCAGAGAGGAAGGGAAGAAGAAAGAGCCAAAGAGGCGGAAAGAAGAGAGAGAAAAGAGAAATGAAAGGGGAAGGAGTTAGGGTTTCCGGGTTTTTGAATTTTTGAATTTTTTTTTTATAATTATTAAATCCGTCGGAGAAGCTTAAAATTTCGTCGGAAATTTTCGTCGGAACTTTCCGACGTAACATACCAAATTAATATGTTCCGACGGATTATTTTCCCTCGGAATTGACCTCTTCTGATGGAAATTTCCGTCGGAAGCAATTTTCCGAGGGAAATTTCCGTCGGAAGCTATAAATTTCGAGGGAAAAAAAATCTGTCGTAATATTTTCGAGGGATTTTCCGTAGGAACTAACATTTTCCGACGGAATTTTCTGACAAATCCAATTATTTTCCGAGGGAATTTCAGTCCGCCGGAATCCGGCCTTTTTCTAGTAGTGTTAGATGTCTTTGCATTGTTCTTGACCGAGCTTCATTGATGTATAGTCGCAAAAGTGATAAAACTTGATTGGTCATCAAGATCTGCAAATTTACAAGACGAATCTTCTAAATCTGCACCCCTATACCAACAGACTCGCAATTCCACAAATTTGCAAGACGAATCTTCTAAATTTGTATCACTGCACACACTAAAAATAAGCAAACAAACGATACTAAAATCACCATGGAGTGACTGACTAAAATCATCATACGGATGATGATTATTGGCTAAAAACATAAAATTAAAGAAGAATTTGGGGCTTACCATCGATAAAAATCGATGGCAGTTTTTTTTTAATGGAATAGGGAAGGGTGATTTCTTCCTACCACTTGTTTTTTCACTAATAATCTGTATATTCAAATCCAAATTTTAATTGTAAATATATCATTATTGATCACCTAATGGTAAAAGTTAATTTCTATTAGAAGTTAAACACAGATTTTATAACAATTCGTTTAATAGCAATAGTTAAAGTTGTTAAAAGCTGACCCGACCCGAAATATCGATCCGAACCCGATTATTAACCGACCCGTTTGAACCCGAAAAAATGGTAACCCGAACCCGATATGACTCTACCTGAGACCAATCCTAGACCCGAGTTAACTCGAGAATTTGAGACCCGAACCCGAACATGAACCGACCTGGACATGACCCTACCGAATATGACCCGTAAATTATTGACCTGAACCGAACCCAACCTGAACCGAGATTGACCAAAACCCGTTTTAACCCGTCAAAACCCGAATTTAATCCGACTTGTTATTAACCAAACCCGACCTGTTACTAACCCGACCGTAATTTAACCAGACATGTTAATAACCCTACCCGAATTTAACCCGACCTGTTACTAACCGACCCGAATTTAACTCGACATTTTACTTACCTGACCCGAATTTTACCCGACCTATTACTAACCCGACCCGAAATTCAACCCAATCTGTTATTAACTAGACCCGAAATCAACACGACTTGTTATTGACCCGACCTAAATTCAACCCAAATTGTTCCTGACCCGATTTCAAATCACCTTAAATTCAATTTAGACCACCTCATTAATATTGATAAAGTATAGTTATATAGTTACGTTGTCACTTGTGTAGTTGTGTGCTTGTGCGAACGAGTTACTATGATAAGTTCAATAGTTAATAGTTCAAAACATACGACTCCTTACATAGACTAATTATAGCTATTTGCTCATTTCTAATTATTAGAATATATTTAGCATATATACAATAATTAAAGATCAGAATATATGCTAAATACATTCTAAGCTACTCGTAAAGTCGTAATTTCGTAAGGCTAAAACTACTCTATGTTAATATAGATCAAAGCATTTTGTCTTGGATACAGGGAGACCAAGTCGGTCTAGGCCAGCAAAAGAAAGAAGCATCATTCCCAAATTTAAGAGTTAAATGTAGTATATATTTGTTGTATGGACAAAGAAAATAATTAACTTCCTAAATTATAGGCTATAGTTCCCTAGTATGTTGCCATATATATTGTTATATAGTCAAAGGAAATAATTAGCTTGATAAAAATGATAATTATATGTTTATAGTTAGCTAGAGTTTAGTCTATTATGATTGACAAAGACATGTACATTATATATATGCAGTTATTTTCTTAATGATAAGGAAGGAAGATCGATATTCCCTCAATCTTTCAAAGGATTTTTTTTTCCCATTTCTCCCTCAGACATATATAATAACTTTTTTCTTTTTTTGATAATTAAATTGATACACAAAGACTTAGATATATATAATAACTTTTTTTTTTTGAGGAAATAGATATATATATATATATATATATATATATATATATATATATATATATATATATATATATATATACGGGGAGGTTCCGCTAAAAACAGAGCTTATGGTGAAAACTAAAAACAAGCAATCTTAGTCATTCATTACTAGCACAAAAGATCAGACGGTTCTAAAGCCCTAAGATCATTCCAACCTTACATATAATCAATTCAACCGTTTTAAAGTTTTTTTTTTTTTTTTTTTTTTTTTTTTTTTTTTTTTTTTTACAAACGCAACGTTTTAAAGGTCACTACATGCTAAAATAAGGTAACTTTATCTAAATTGACGATATTTACATAGAGTCACTATATATAAAAATAACGTAACTATATACAAAAATAGGGTAGCTATATCAATTTTTACAATATTTACATTAAGGTCACTATATACAAAAATAGGGTAACTATTTCAATATTGACCATATTTACATAGAGGTCACTATATACAAAAATAGGGTAACTATAACAATTTTTACGACATTTACATTAATGTCACTATATACAAAAATAAAGTAACTATATCGACTGAGTTTTTGACACCATTTACATAAAGGTCACTATATACAAAAATAAAGGTCACTATATATAAAAATAAGGTGACTGAAACAAAATTTACAACATTTCAATAATTCTAAGGTTATTATATCGAAAATAAGGTAACTATATATAAACTTCGGGTAATTATATCAATTTGACATCATTTACCCAGAGGTCAATAAATATAAAAATAAGTATTAAAAAAGTCTATGTAGGATTCGAACCTACATCCCGTGATTACACGGTGCTCGACCAATTGAGCTAATAGACTTTCAACATGCCAAAACAGCCAATAAAAGCATACCAACATCACAGACCAACATCATACAGACTGAAGCAAAACAAGCTTGACAAGATCAACGTTTTAAGGACAGAAGCAGAGGCAAATAAAAGCATACCAGGATATCATGATACGAGCAAGCCACCTGTATATGAGGAATCCCAACAAAATGTAGATATTGAACAGGCAGGCACCAAAAATCATACAATCAGAGATAAATCTTCACAAAGGCTGAAGAAGGTTACTACACTAACTCCAGCTGACAAGGTAAGATCAGGCATGATAGAGCTCGCAATAACGCAAACTAGCATACTCGAATTCTAGAAATAAATTTCTAAAGACACGCTTCTACTATTTAACTAACATGTCCTTTACCCTGCATATTTCAAGATGAGAATAAAGTATCAACAGTTATTGGAGATCAAAGGGAAAAATTGATACAACCTATAAATGGTCTTGAAAGCATTGTACAATCTCAACATCTCTAGTATATTAAAACCCCACATTAAAACCCCACAGAGGCCTACTCAATAACCTATAGATAGTATTACATGCCAGACCAAAAAGGAGCAAAAGGAATACATACATACAATCTCCCAAAGGACAAATAAAACAAATCAGATCAGTAATCAAATCATTACTCCCAGATCAGTAATCAGGATAAATGAGTTTTGCTAAAAATTTAGTCTTAAGCTCAATTAAACAAAGGAATTTCAGAAATCTGCAAGCTTCACCTGATCCTTCATCTGCATAAGAGCCAGGGGATACTTTGATGTCAACCTGTGTAAAAAAGACAATACTTGTATTATTCGTCTGAGAAAATCACGATGTCCCCATTACACAAGAGCCAGAATATCATGGTT